CCATAAGAGCCCGGAGGCCGCGACCGCCCAGCGCAGCGGGAAGGGAGGCAACCTGAGATTTTGCCGGCACCAGGCGGCGGGACCCCAGCGCAGAGACGAGGCCGGGGCGGGCAGGTAAGCCAGAGCACGGTGAGCCTCTCCCGCGCATCCTCGGGGCGCGTCACTCCCTCCGGGGCTCCCGAAGTCTGTGGCCCAGAGGCGCTGAGCTGGGGCGGGCACCGCGTCTCCAAAAGTCGCTGGCAGGGGCAGCGCGCCCCGACAATGCCATTCACGGTCTCGAGGAGGTCGGTGGCCGAGAGGTGTGTGCACGGGAAGGGGTGCGGGACTGATCGCGCCCCAGTGACCCCTGGCCAGGCCCTGCGGGCGAAGCACCTGGTCCCCCAGCCGCCCCGCTCTCTGGGCTGCGCGGGAAGGTGCGGTCGTCGCTGGAGTCCCCACCGTGCCGGTTCCGCGGTTGGAGCGGGCCTATGTGGCTGATTCCTCCCTGCTGAGCCAGATGTAGCACAGGGTGAGGTGGAGACATGGGGGGATCTTCCCAGCCCAGGCTTCATGTCTCAGGAGTTTGTCTGATTGCGAAGATGGGGTGCGGTCCTGGAGATGCTGGATCTGTGTGCCCAGGCTGTTTGTAGGGAAGGACCAGGGCGAACAAGTTTATCAGCCACCTCTGTTCCTCGTTCTGGGCGGAGAACGAAGCTTTCTGAGAGGCCACGTTTTGCTTTCTGTACTCAAACCTGGGCTCTGAGGCTGTGGCTTCAGGACTTGCGTTGGCTCAGCCTAAATGCTGAGTGTGCACTTCCCTGTCAGGGCATCGGGATGTACCTGCAAGGGCCCTTGTCAGAGCGAAAGGCTCACCATCCGTAGAGCTCCAGCCCTCTCTGCTGGACCCCAGTGCAGGACCGTTGCACCTGCAGGCCCTGCAAAGCCGGCCGTTTCTCCTACATCTCAGGAATGCTGGGTTTGTCACTGGAGGTGAAGGGGCCACAGAGAAGCAGTGGGTAACATCACTTATATGGTGAGTTGTTCAAATGTGGACACAGAGGAAAATGATCCGGTTATGCTTTTGCTTCAACCAGGGTGTGTGTGTGTGTATGTGTGTGTGCGCACATGCGTGTGTGTACAGTCGAGACAATGCTGATGGATCTGAATATCAAAAGTCCTATTTGAAGCTGTTTTTGACCATGTCCATGTGTAACTCTGTTCTCCTTGATTGGGTTACACGGGGTTTTATGAAAGTATCTTGGAAACAATTCCTTGGTAAAGTTACTAAGTACGGAAACTCGTCTGCTCCCAGGTAAATCCTGCCGGTGCTCTGGTCTGCCCGACTCTTTCAGGCGGGCATGGGGGTCCCTGGAAGAAGCTGTCGGAATCCTTATCTTTAAACTTGCATTATTGTGGCTGCTTTTGGTTATAAAAATTTGCTCTCTGCTTTTACTGCTGTGTGTAAAGAGTACATGTGCACTGTTGTAAAGACTTATTTTTAAAATTTTATTTATTTATTTGAGGTAGAGAACACAGCGGGGGTGGGTGAGGGGTAGGGGCAGAGGGAGAGGCAGAAGCAGACTCCCTGCTGAGCAGGGAACCAGACTCAGACTCAACTTGGGACTCGATCCCACGACCCTGAGATCATGACCTGAGCGGAAGGCAGACGCTTCGTCAACTGAGTCACCCAGGCACCCCAAAAGACTTACTTTGGATACTATTTGAAGATTGTGAAATTAGTCCCTGGCAATGTGGTGAGGGTGGAGGTGACATTTTGCATTATTATTCAAAGCAAAATTGGAGATTATACAGCATTGCACTTTGATTGGCACGGAGAGGGGTGCCAGGGAAAGAGGGAGCAAGGCAGGTATTTATCCTGAGGTTCTCAGGGCCCATCCACCCCCGGCCCCACAAGATCTAGCCTGTCTCCTGCTGTCCTCAACCTTGGCTGTGTCAGCCTAGGGGCTTGGCTTGGAATGTATTCTGCCCCAAAGACAGGATGGTAGATGCCCCTGATCTCTGTTCTTGCCTCCACGGTTCGGGCTACTAAATCGTTGCATTCTGTGTGTGTTTATTTTTCACGCTGGCTGAAGACCCAGGGCAAAGAAGCACAGGATTCCGAGGCTCCAGTCTGCCCATGAGTAAAAGCAAATGCCCAGTGGTACTGATGTCTTCAGTGGTGGCCCCAGCTAAGGAGCCCAATGCCATGGGCCCAAAGGCAGTGGAACTTGTCCTGGTCAAGGAGCAAAATGGGGTGCAGCTCACAAACTCTACCCTCATCAACCCCACGCAAACCCCTGTGGAGACACAAGAGCGAGAGACCTGGGGCAAGAAAATCGACTTCCTCCTGTCCGTGATCGGCTTTGCGGTGGACCTGGCCAACGTCTGGCGATTTCCTTACCTGTGCTACAAAAATGGCGGGGGTGAGTCCTGCCCGGCCTGCACGATGCCCCTGTGTGGGTGGGGGGGCTGGTGGGGCCACTGCTGCTCCTCACGGGCCCTGCAGCTCCTGACTCCGCCTTAGCAGGGCGCGCATTCCGGGGGGCAGGGGTGTCCACAGACCAAAGAAGGAGAGGGTCGGGCGGCCTCCTGGTGAATCTGCCCTCTGCAGCTGGGTGGTCCCTGGTGGTCGGAGGCACCAGGGCTCTGCCTTCTGTTTCCAAAGATGACTTTCGCTTTGGAAAGCAAATCCTCAAACGCACACAGAATGGTGTCTTGGGCGGACTTCAGACAGTATCACAAGAGTGCACGGAGGCCCTCGAATTTGGAGTAGTGTGGCCTTGCGCTCGCCCTGCTCCCTGAACGCGGCCGGTCCTAGAACCACACACAGCTGTGGACTCGAGGCAGAAAACGAAAGTAAGAGACAGGGTCACCCACAGACTGAAGATGAGGAGCCAGTTAAGTTGGTGCTCACTTCCATGAGTCCTCCTGATGCTCGCTCCCTGCGGCTTCCGTGACCCGTTAGTCCCTCACGGCTACACACGTGAAGGGTTTGGAAGAGCCTCTTGGGGAGGACCTTCCAGCACACACGTTCTGAGGGGAGAACGCGAGGCCTGAGTAGGGGCAGTGAGTTGTACAAAGACAGGACTGCGGGGTCTCCCTGCCTCCCCCTCCCCGTCCCAGGAAAGGAGCCGTGGCAAAGGCCCCCTCCTCGGAGGCAGAGCCATGGGGCCCTGCATTTGGTGCCTGGGGCAAGGTGCGGCCCCAGGAGGACTGGGCAGGACGCTGGAGGGACGCTGGTGCCTGTCCACCGTAGCCCCTGACCGACGCGGGCTCTGGAGACGGGGAGTGGGGAATGGGTGGCAGAACCCCCGTAGGGTCAGACACGGACCTCAGATCCCAGAGGATTTACAGGTCAAGAGGGGCAGACGCTGCACAGACAAGTGAAGGGGCAGAGGCCATGGCGGGGAGGGCAGGCGGGGAGGGCAACTCCAGGAGCAAAGCTGCTGTGCGGCCAGGGGCCTGCCCTCTGTGCTCTGCGGTTGATTTCATGACTTGGCCCAAGGGGTGGTTGGGGTTCAGCAGGGACGTGTCGGGGCGCTGATGACAGGGGGCCAGGGCCTGGAGGTCAGAGGCTCCCCCGCCCAGCCTGGGACTTCCCTTTGGAGGGCGGCCATGCAGGGAGCTTCAGGAGACATTGGTGGCCGTGCCCGAGACATAGTGGTGGGATGGCCGGCTCCAGCGACAGCAGGTGGCCAGGCTGAGCCAGCTGTCCTGCCCCACAGGCGCCTTCCTGGTCCCCTACCTGCTCTTCATGCTCATTGCTGGAATGCCACTTTTCTACATGGAGCTGGCCCTGGGGCAGTTCAACAGGGAAGGGGCTGCCGGCGTCTGGAAGATCTGCCCCATCCTGAAAGGTAATGGCCCGGACCCTCCTCATGCCGCGTGCGGCACAGACCGTGCTGGTGGCTCGGGGCTTTCAGAGCAAGCCCACCCAAGCTGTGTGCGTTCGGTCCCGCTCTGATAGGTCTCTGTGCCCCTCGATGTCCATGTCCTGTCTCTCTCTGTCTGTCTGTCTGTCTCTGTCTGTCTCTGTCTCTGTCTCTCTGTCTCTCTCTGTCTCTGTCTCTGTCTGTCTCTGTCTGTCTCTGTCTCTCTCTGTCTCTCTCTGTCTCTGTCTCTGTCAG